GAAATGATAAAACAAATGTTTCAAGGTGGACCTTCTTCCGACTATTCAATTATCCATTCACAAAAATCTTGACATACTTGAGCTTCAAAAACGAAAGGAAAAGCTACTAACACTACTGTTGGCATCATTTTTTGTGTCACAAGTGTATGTTGTCCACCTACATGGCTCAAGATGGTCTATGGTTCATTTGCAGCATCCGGTAGCCCAAGCCACCCACCCAAGACATTCCAGCGCTTGTTCGGGGCAAGTAGCTCGGTTCAGTAGTGACTGAGCCATACCCAGAAAAACTCCCTCTAAGAGGCCCATATGAGATGTAATATATGCTTAACATTCATTCTAGTGTTTAAAGATCACTACATGTCCATTCGAAGCCTCCTACGACCAGGGAAAGTCACAGTATCCACCTACGCGTACTACGAAAAAATTAGGCTTCATAACACCATACTCGCGTCGTGGCCTAGGACGACCATTGGTGGCATTTTATTTAGCATATGACTGAGCAAAATACTATATTTTGGAGTTATGAGACTTTATTTTACTCATACGAAGTCTCCCATAACTTACGGATCGAAAAGATGATCCATGGGGCGCTCCCCACAAAAATTAGGGTTTTGGGCTAGACCGGCGCCCCAGCACCGACCTCGGGACCTACACACCCAAAATAACTTTCCAGACCATCGAGCCAAAGCTTACAGAGGTTTGGCACTTGTTTGTGGAATTTGGACAACTTTTCAGATGCTTAGGCATCAAAACTGGAGCCAAGGCTCCCAAAACAGGCAAAAAATTGTCATTTTCTAGAGAGCCGGGAAAGTAGGCGCCACCCAGGTGACGCCTAGGCACTCAAACAGACAAAACTTTGTCATTTTCCCAAGAGCTAGGAAAGTAGGGGCCACTCAAGTGACTCCTTGGCACCTAGACTGGCGCCTGAGTACCAAAACTGGCGCCTAAGCTCCCAGACTGGCGCTTAGGCACCTAGAGAGTGGCACCTAGGCATTAAAATGGGTCCTAGGTGCCAAAATGGGGTGCCTAGGCCATGGGGATGCGACGCCTAGGTGTTAGTCACCTTCTAGTTAGAAAAAATGGCTATTTTGACATTGTTTTGACGTCGTTTTAAGCCGTAATCCTCGGGAAGGTAAAAAGTGGGTGGCTAATACCCATTTTTCCCTCCTCTACAAGCATCCAATGGGCACTTTCTTAGGGCAAAAGGGCCATTTCCTTGATTGATAGGGGTTTAACCTATGCACCCTCTCATTTGATCGGAAACTAAATCAATTTAAATCAAGCTTTTAAATCAAATCAAATCTAACCAACTCAGATTTTCAACTCAAATGAATTACCCTAATCAAGCTCTTTCAAATCAAATCTAATCCTTTAAATAAAATCACACCCTTATTTAATAAATTTAAAATTTTCAATCTACAAGATAATTCTTCTTCCTATACTTAACTAAACCTTTTTGTAGGCCTTTTCATAACACATTGTCGTTGGGTTGTAAGTCTCGACTCTTCAATTCCACTAAAATCCTTAAGAACATATCTATATAGATGTTGTCAAATAAATTAAGCATTTATGTATTTTAAAATAATTACAATTTTTTTTCCTTCAAATCCATAATAAACTCTTATTTTTCATATGAAAGGAAACATGATCATGGTTGGAAGTTAAAGAATCAGTCTTCGATCGTACTGTCATCGCCCTATTAATATGATGTGACCATTATCATCAAACTATTAACGCAACAAAATCATGTTTTTCCAAACAATTTTGATATCAACTACCTTCAACAAAGTTGGTGCAAGTCTTTGAATGGAATCCCAAGTGTGATTGTTATGGATGTCAATGATGATACATACCATTGATAATAGGTTCGATGCATGATGCTGATATTAATATCAAATCGTGTTATTTTGAATAAATGTTCAATCCCATTGTTGACATATCATAATATCTAATGCTCAATATTTATTGACAGATTTTCACACCTAGGAACCTCTGACATTGATAAAAAAAATTTATGTTAGATATCGTGGCTAATTTATGAGGTTTTAAGAAATAGGATCCAATAACATCAATAATTTTTTAAAGACTACTGTAAATCTTTTTAATAATCATTCTCGACAATTCATGTTTATCAAACTATATTAATGCAAAAAATGGCATTTTTTAAAAGCGGGTTTTAAAAACGGTGGGCCCCAAATCTCATTTATTACATATAGTAGTCTCAAAATATATTATTTTTGGGCGGTCTCTGTCCTCTCTCAACATCAAAGGGTTAGAAAATAGGTGAGAAAAAGAAAAATCTAGTTTCATTCTCTTCTCTAGAGATCCTCTCTTGTGCTCCTCGCTCTTCCGCTGCGGAGGTCAGTTTTTGAGTTGGCTGAAAACGCTGCAAGGGAAAATAAAAAGAATTGTATTATCCTGAGACAAGTTCTTCTTGCCATGAGGAACAAAAATGAGCTTCAAAAACTTTTTGTTAGCGTGACGATCGCTAATTGCAGCAAAAGAGCCGAAAGAGCCGAAAGAGATCCTCGCATACCCAAACTTCCTCTTTTCCTTCTCCCTTTTAGGGCAGGTTTGAATTCTTGCTTCTCACCAAAAATTTCATCCTCCATTTTTTTTGCTTTCCTATTTCATTTTTCCTCAAAAAATAAAAATAAAAAACTTCCTCTTTTTATAGATTTTTTGCTGTTAAAGTGGTAACTTGGCACGAAAAAAGAAGTTGAGCTCAACAATAAATTCTCTAACTCAAACAAGTAGAAAAAATGCTGCACCGAATTGGTGGAAACATTTGCAAAATCAAAGAGATCTTGGGATATGCTCAGAAGGTGAACAACTCTAGATTGGACACAAAATTTTCTACTTTTAACACAATTCCACCAATCTGGAGTTGAGAGAGGGATTTACAATGAAGAATTTTTTAACACAAAAATAGCAGGTGATCGTGACTTGAAAGTTGATGCTTGTTTTCGTGATTCAAACCATCATTTCAGACAAATTCTCTTCTCTTTTCCAATTAGAAATAATTTTGGGTTGAAGTTTCAAGCCAACAATAGATCCCAAACCTTGCTTTATGTTCGTATTATGGATGTTCTTTGAGAGTACGAGCTATTCTATATGAAAATAAAAATTATTTTGAGGTACAAAAATTTGAGTCGGGGCATATATGATCCGGTGTGAATAGAGCAGGGAAAAAACAAGCAAGAACAACTTGAGTAGCTCACGAGATAGAAGTTATTGTGAAAAAGAATCTCTACATCCCTCGAATGTCGGTTAATAACACTTTCGTGAGTTTTTATGACCTTTCACTTCTGTATACAAATGTTATGCCGAATAAGAGAAGAAGCAAGGAGTTTAATTTTTGGATCAGATTGGTTGATAATAATTATAAGTGGGTATCTGCTTTGCAAGAAGAACTGATGAGTTGAAATCCTAGATCTCATATTTCATACACTTGCAGTTAGCAAGGCTTGTCTTCCAAAAAATATATATATATATATATATTTTGTTTTAAGGCCTCAATTGATGGATTTGTAGCAGGATGTAGACATTTGATTGTAGTTAATACATGTCATGTGAAATTTATGTACGGATGAAAAAATGAATTGTTTTTGTTAGCTTTCATTGTTGTTGAACAGAGTTGAAGCAATGGTTTTTGAAACAATTGGTGGACACGATTGCGTTTGAAAAATTAGACATCTACATAGTTATCCCAGTTGACACCAAATTTTCTAAGTTGGCATATCATCAGTAATTTGGATAGAGAATCTCATGAAAGATTTTGATATCAACTTATAGTGGACATCCGAACTGTTAATAATCCATCCACAACTTCAATTAAGAAGAAACCCTCTAACACACTTCCGCATAAACTAAACAACAAAAGTGGACAACCGAACGGTTAAAATCATAATTGTCATCGGACGATCGAAGAAAAACACCGGGCAACTTTTGAGAAGACAAATCATGCACTACAAAGGAAATCTCAATGTAAAATACCAAACAAACAAACCTAAAACAAATTTTGATGTTGATGAAGGTAACTAAAATGAAAATCTTGAAGCGCTGCCGTTCTTAAGAAATAAATAAGAATCCAGAATGAATTTTTCTCGGAGAAATAGATTTTCTGACCACGCTTTAAATGGAAGAAGCAGAAGTGATCTTTGTTTGCAATCTGCGATGAATTTTTTTTTTAAAAAAAAATTTAAAAATGGGTCTATGATATACACTTTTTTGGTAAATGAGAAAATTTTATTGGCCCGCCAAGCATCTTTACGTGCGGTGTGGGCGGACGCAATAATTTTACCTTTAGGAACAGAAGCGATCCCCTAATTTTGGAAAAATTATTCCATACGGATCAGACACCGCACGCATCTTGCGTGCGGTGTCCGATCCTGACCGTAAATCAAGTCAGGATGTATTTCGGTGGGCCCCACCTAATTTTTTTTTTTTTAAAGAAAATTGAAATAATCCTGACCGTAGATCACCGTGATCTACGGTCAAAATCGGACACCGCATGCAGAGATGCATACGGTGTCCGTATGCAATAATCTCTCCCTTTTTTCCGAATGCAGAAGTGAAATGTGGAAAAGAGGGAGAACTGAAGAAAGATACAGAGCTTTCACCTGTAAATAATATGTTTTGAGAATAATAAATGAGATTTAGGACCCTCCGCATGTAAAAATCCTTCATAAAATTATTTTAATTTTCATAGACCCCTTTTTTATTTGTATTTTTATCATAGACCTCATTGTTCTTTCCCTCTCCATAAAAAAAAAAAATTGTGTGAATACTGAAACAATAGACTCTCTTTTTTCCTCCACAATTTTTCTTCGGACACAAATATCTTTGCTAAAATAAATTAAATACCAAATAAAATTTCAAATCAAGACATAGTTTTCAACCCAACAATAAAAATCTCTTTAACAATTTATTTACAATACAGATAACAAAATATAAATTCTATTCCACCATCCTTCATGGCTTAGGAATCACACTGTGTATTACATTAAATTTCGAATGAAAGCAGCCACCGGATCTTCTCCTCCCTTTGTAACCATCTTCTTCCAGTTCTCCTCAACGTCTCCATCATCAAATAGCCCCAGCTCTTCAGCCAATTCCATCAACGACCGCTCGTCTCTACCGAACTCCAAAGTACTGATCTGCTCTATTTCATCCACAGTCGCCAAGCAGCTATATGCCTCGCTCTCGAAAGGGAGAACCAGGTCATTATTATCTTTAGCGCTCGCAAGTTCACCAGGACCGGCAGGCAAGGCGTACGACCAGATGTCGCAATGCGTTTGTGTCTGGATCAGGTTGCTTGTGTTGGCGCCAGAATTCAACATCAAGTTGTTATTCTGCGGCAGGACTCGCTTTCTGAGGTAAGTGTTCCAAACGTTCTTGATATGGTTGTCGGTTCTACCGGGCATGAATGAGGCAATCTTTGACCACCTGGAGAGAAATGGGCTATGGTGGACTGTGAGGTTAAATTTAGGGATTATATAAATAGAAGAAGTTGGAGAGGTTACCGGTTTCCAAGCATTTTGTGGAGTTGGATTATGGTTTCTTCCTCCTGTTGGGTGAAGTTGCCGTGCTTGATGCCGGGGCATAGGTAATTGACCCACCTCAGCCGGCAGCTTTTGCCGCACCGCAGCAAGCCTGCTAAGACAAGACGAAGATTTGAACATGAATTTTCGTATGTAATTTGGTGGAATTATCTCAAAGATTTTGGAAGCATATCTATATATATATTTTTTGTTTTGATTTTTGGGAATATTTTCGTTAGATGCAATAGAAGTTAGTCTATTGATGATCTTTTCTTTTTGTTTTTTTAATAAGAAAGTGCCACCATAAATTTATTTTATTTTATTTTATATTATGGATTCATTTGTATATTTGCATATTTACATAATTAATATAAATATCAATTTAATTTGAGAATATCAGGGTCATTGGGGAGAGTTTGTTCAAATTAAGCTTATGTTAGAGCTCTCCACAAATTAAATTTATTCATTTCAAGACTAGAAAATATTTGATAAATATATTTTTTTTATTAAATTAAAAGAAATAATCATTTGTACTGAACCCAATTACAATTCCCATAACAACATTCCTTTCTTCTTGATGTGGGATAAAAAGATGCTTGAATTATATGCAGTCACCCATCCACATCATTACCACATGCACAGTGACATATCCGCTGCGCCAACTCCAATTTCTTTTAGAATTATTCATAGACGTATCAGTCTCATCGTTTGTATTCACCTCATGGAGAGGGATTAAGAACCAGTCAAATCCTATATGTATTTACATGCTACACCCATTCCTCCCGGAAAAGATTCACTGCCCGGACTCTGGACATAGCTCTAGGTGCGGACTCTCAATAATATACCGTCATATGTCGGGCCCACCTAAAAAAATATTGAAGTGGAACCGTGGACTTTGCAATAACCCCGAAATAACCTCCGTTATTTCACTTCAATAATCCTGAAATAACACCGCAGATATTAATTCAGGATTATTTCTAGGTTATTTCGGGCTACTGAAAAGAAACTCATATATTCCACTTCAATAACACAAAAATAACCACCGCAGTATTATTTTAGGGTTATTGGAGTGGAACCATAGGAATTATTTCAGGATTATTTCTGTGTTATTTCGGAGTTATTGAAGTGAAATATATGAGTTTCTCTTCAATAACGTAGAAATAACCCCGAAATAATCTCTGTGGTTCTATTTCAATAATCCTGAAATAACCTCCGGAATATAACACACATGACGACATATTATTGGAGTTCGCAAGTAGAGATACGTCCAAGAGTCCGGACATAAAATTTTTCCAAAACTCACATATTTACATATCTAATACATACCTATGTATTTGGTAATTATACTATGCAAATATTTTTCTTAAATTTACAATATAACATTTTTAATTATATAAATAAATTAATACCAATAAGAATATAAATAAATATTATTATTTAATTATTTAATTATTTAGATATTTGGTAATTATACTATGCAAATATTTTTCTTAATACTATATTATTATTCTTTCATAGTAAGTTTACGGTTTTCAATTTAATGAGATCAATTTTATTGGATTCAAAGGAATAATTATGCATCAAAATATTTTAAATTTAATGAGAACAATTTTTTTTGGGTTCTATTAAATAATTATGTATCAAAATATCTAATAATAATTTGATCAGCATGTACACATCTAATAACTTAAATTTCAATTTTTATATATATATCATCTTATCTATGCACGATAATATATATTTCACATATTAAAAATTAAAAACTTATTTAAAAATAATTTTATTTTTATTTTTTTCCTTAGTTTTTCAAAATATGCATGTTTAATGTGTTTATTGCCTATATTTTTTAAACTTTTTAGGTGGTTTGTGTGTTTTTAAAAACATTCATATCTTAATTAGAAATATTAAATATGTTTTAATTCAAATTAAAATATAAAACATAAAATAAAAATAAAAAAAAAATGTGATCCCAAATAACCTCTAAAATAGTGTTATTTTTATTATATATATCACAAAAAATTTGGTGGTATAAATATAAAATGTAACATAGGAATTGGGTGATATGAATGTAAATGCCTCTAAAATTCTTTTAGTATTTGTTTGAAATCCATGCTTAGCAAATACTTTAGTAAGAGCTTTATGACTCAATTATCTGTAAGAAAATATTATGTGTGGCGGACAACCACATCACCATATAACATAACAACTCATCATGACTGTTATCTGGACGTGCAATCGCCGCACATAATATTTACTCATTATTTATAGTTCTTCTAAATCATAATAATGATAAAAAAGAAATAATTTAGGGGCCTAAGAAAAAAAAAAGAGAGAATTAACACAAATCTTCTAATGATAAGCGACTTATCAGTCAAATGTGCTCTGAAAAATTCCACCAACAAACTGTCCAGGTAGCAGGAGAAACATTGGATCATGTTTTATGAAAAAGACAAAATGAGAGAAAAAGAAAGCGCAAACAGCAATGTCATGCAAAACAGATAGCTGAATCTTTTTTTTTTTCCCATTAATAAAGCAATTTTTTTCTCTTCTGCAACCACTGGTCCACTGTACTCATCAATATATATTAAACTTCCTAAGCTAATAAGGCAAACGGAACAAGTCCGGTGATTAAAACAAAATATTTAGGACAAAGAGAGGGAAAGTATATGCAGCTCATGAACCTGCTCGTTTCGGAAGGGTTCTCCAGTTCTGATGGCCATACTTCTGAATGTAGGAGACAAGTTTACTGTCTTCCTCTGCAGTCCACCAGCCTTTCTTCACTTCCGTCCTATCACAACATGGAGCTCGCCCTCTCCCCATTTCAATCTTTCTTTTCTGAAACTATATTTGAAAACTTTATGAGCTGAGAGATATAAATACTTGTGCGTACATATAAATTGATATTTTCCTCTCATTTCACAACTTTTCTCTAAAAAGCTTATTTTCTCTTCCTTAAGTTTTCCCAAGCAAAAATAAAATTCTTGTTGAACAGCATAGCTCAATATGGCGAGGCAAAGATAGCTGGATAACTTGGTTGTTGGTTGCAATAAATAGAAGGATTACGCAGAGTTTTAAGAGATCCAAGCAAGTATCTACGGATTTATAAATGGAAAGAATGACTTGATGGCTTGACCAAACGCTAGATATTGCATGGAGTTCAATGGCCAACTCCTGTAGACTTTGCATGGTTATTTAATGCACATGATGAATGGTTTGTGATTTGTTAGATCTATGGGCGCGTTTAGATTTCAGGTTATATGGCTTATTTCGGGATTTTGGATCTAATTGTCAGAAGCAATGGATTTCATGCTTATTTGATTAAAACTTATTAATAATATTTTTTTAATTTTTTTAATGATTGTTATTAGTATGAGTATCATTATTGATAATAATTAATATTATTATTGTTGTTGGTGTTCTTATTATGTTTTAATATATTTTATGTATAGATGGGTTGATCGATTCTAAGAAGAAACAAATTAATTTCGAGTAGAATCAAATTTTTTTCAAGTGATCCGCATTCAATTTGGATTGATTTGAATTGGCGCATATTCATTTCAATTTTAGGGATTAGAACAAATGTACTATCATAAATCATATGTTGACCAACTAAAATGATTATATTATGGTAAAACTAAATCCGCTAACCAATTGGCTAGATAAATCTACCAACTAATTAACCCCAACTGCCATTACATCCTTATTAGAAATTCAAAAATTTGCTAAACCAAAATTGAATTAAATTATATTAAAATTTGAATTGGTTCATCTTATTTGTTCTTGTTAATTTAACTTAACTTGATTGGTTTAATAAATTCATCGCCCAAAGTTCCAATCCAACCGACCAATTGCACACTCCCAATTCACAATGCATCAATTTGTGCCTTTTTATTTTCCTCTTAAATATATTTTATCAGTTATTAAAAATTTAAATGAGTAATTTTGTTGTTTTAGGTATTTATGTACTAACTTGGCTGGTAAGACCATGAGGTCTTTGTCATCACTCTGAAATTAAATTTAAATCTACACTCAACATCTTGAAAAACATTAGTAGCAGGGCCTACATCATCTCTCACCTACTTTGGAAGTATTGTAAGAGAATATAAGTAGAGATGCTACCAACAGACTTGAAGCCTGGGGCTAGCTGCGAGCATGTAATCTTTTTACTAATATGAGAAGGTTTATTGCTGATAATAAATTATTCTCGAAAAGTGGGAAGCCTTCAGAACACCACATGCTACAAATTTACAACAACCTTTATGCAAACTTAAAAGCATGGAAAAAAATATACTTCATATTTAACAAATACAAGTCTCGTAGGTGAAGAAAATTGATTTCTTTCTTGCCCATTTTAATCTGTTTGTTGGCAGCTTAAATTTTTCAACCAAAGGATTTTGTGTTTGGAATTCGTAGTCCAACCTATGTGATGTGTATTAAATTTGCTCGAAGTCTAAATAAAACAAAATTCAAAAGTATACTTTTGCTGTGGTTCTGCCCCCTCCCCCTACCCCCTTCCGAGCAGTTTCGCGATGCATGCGATCTCCCAGCCGTTCTGCATGACTGAAACCGGCAAGGCCTATTATTACAAAGGAAAGTTCAGGTGTTAGATATGTAAATACATAAGAATTGTGTGGTATGTATGTGTAACAAGATCTGTGATAGTCAACAGTTAACACAGGATATGGCAGAACTACCATGCCAACCTTAGTTTAATGCATCTGTATCTTTCAATTGATTGCATTTTTTTAAATAAAAACATACCTGAAAATATGGGTATCGGCATTGTTACACACATCCATCCAATTCTGATGCATTTGCATATCTAACACCTAAACTTTACTTTCTTAATGACAACAATTTAGAATGATAAAAATGTTCAACGCATAACTTTCATTAAAGTTGCCAATTAGTGTATAGATTTGCTCTGCATTGACTACAAAAAAAAAAAAAGACTCTTTTAGCCTGCATGACCCGCCCCTGAATCTGCCACAAATTTTCTATTTTGGTAATCAGTGGTTGATTGTACTTTATTCGACCTTAAGCATTGTAGTTTTGCATTTGTCCACTCTCAAGCCTGCAGCCGCCGGAGCGTCCGGTCGACGACACATCTTACAGTGCGCTTGTAGCCATCCGATGGATCGGTCCAACTTCTACCTCACCTGCAGCCATCCAATCGGCGGTCCGACCACTGAATCTGCCGCAAAAGAGGTTTCTGCTCCTTCAATTTTTTTCTATTTTGGTATTCAAATGTTGATTATAATTTTTTGCGAGCTTACGGGTTCAAGTTTGTTCTTATGCACTCTAAATTTCAGTTATAATGTGGTCTTTGCATTAAAAATATGTACTTATTCTGTTTTGCCAAGGAACTTAACAAAATCCCTCATAAATATTCAAATTATGATCGAAATTTTGTGCTCTTGCTACTAGAAAGACATATTATTGAAGATTTGAGGAAGCGCCTTCAATCCAAAATCATAGATTTAAAAATTAAATTGTTAAATAAATATTAGTTAATTCTATCATTGAATTATGTGCTCTGAAAATAAATTTCTAGTCAGATTTTATGATGCATTGAAAAAACAAGAATTTTATTATAATTTGACATTAGTTTATTTATTTTCATGATATCTCAGTTTATTATGTAATAAAGTAGGATATCATGAAAATGCATAGCATTAAACCCACCCATGAGAGAGTTTTATAATGTGCCCTGAGGATACACTAAGATCATCTTCTACTTAAAATATTTTGATTCTCATATTTTAAAAATCAGAAGTCACCACATGCAACTCTTAAAAGTAGTACTTTGTTCTTGTGCACTCTCAAATTCAGTCTTAATTTGGTCATTGCATTGAAAATATATACTTATTTTGCTTTGCCAACGAAGTGAACAAAATCCTTAATAAATATTCAAAATTTGATATAAATACTGCGCTCATGCTACTATAAAGGCAAATCATTGAAGACTTGAGGAAGCGTCCTTGATGCATGTTAGAAAATTCACGGCGGTAGAGTAACAAATTATCTTTTTAGCGTTGTACGAAAATTCAGCAGAGACACAGATGAATTAGAAAAAATCGGTGATGATTCCAGAATATTGTACGTGGAAAACCCGTTAGGGAAAAATCACGGGACTTGGCCCAGTTGCAGAAATCCATTATTGATTGATGATTACATAAATCCCTTGTCCCACAGACTAGAAATGGTAACTATATTTTTCAGATTACAATGTCGACTGACGACGCCTGGTTGATAGTGATTGATGACAATAGGTGGAAGTTGACGACGATCGGCGGTGGTCGACGTCAGTAGGCGGTGGTCGTCGGCGATAGACAGCGATCGACGGCGGTTGACTACGGCTGTTGTCTTCGGAGTTCGGCGGTCGGAGGTGGTCGGCGACAGAGGTCGGCGGTGGTCGACGACTATTGGTGGTGATGCTGAGTTGCAGCTTATCCTCAAGACCTCAAACTCTCTCAAGACTTCCTCCCCCCTCATGAGAGGGATGAGGCTCTATTTATAGTGTTCTAGATGCAATTAATGCAAGAATATGAACAATTTTGATCGGACGGTCCGGAGAGCTTCCCTTGATCATATGACGTTTACTGGATATTTGAGTGTCTTAATGATGTCATAATTGAGTGATTTTAAGCTCGTTGGATTCGTCTTGTCAAGCCGCTCGATTCGAGTATAAAATTGTCATATTCGATAACTCTTTGATCTTTCAAATGTGTCTGAAAATCGTTTAAGTGTGGTTCAATGACTTGATTTGGGCTTGATTTGGCCTGTATTGGGCTAGTTTTCATTTTATTAGGTTCGTCTCATCAAACCAGTCAGTTTGACTATAAGTTTGCTGAAATCAGAATTCTGAATGATTTTTTGTCAAGATTTGAATGTTTCATGCTTAAAATATTGTCTCGAGATTTGTGTCATGTCTCGAGATTCGTGTCAGATGATGAAAATTTACTGGTGGCTTATCAGTTGCCCCTCTATTTTCGGGCGAGACCATTTTTATCATCCGAAAATATATCCGGAGTATATATGTATATGTATATATATCTTACTTAGTATAATAATAATTTTTATTCTTATATAAATAGAAAGCTAAACTCAACTTAGTTGGTTAGTATCTTTTGCTATATGTGGGAGAGAGGGAGTTCAAATCTCGCCTAAAACAGAATAAATAATATTTTATAAAGAAATTTGAAGAAATTAAAGAATTTGAAAGGGCAAAAGAGAATGAATAAAAATTGAAAAGTTTTTTTTTTTAATATAAAAAGTTTTTATTCGTTATTATTTATGAGCATTTAATACTTGCACTTCTTTTTAGATTTCTATATTAATGTGCATTTATTGGCCAATGCTCTTTTTGAGCCTATAAATAGGGGCCTGAAGGAGAGGGTGGAGGTGCGTCGTGGCGACGTGTTGCGGCGGTGCGGCTTGGCAGCCTGTTGCGGCGGCGCGGCGGGGCAACCTGTTGCGGCAGCGCGACGCAGCGACGCGTTGCAGCGGCACGACACGACGAGGCAACGTGTTGCGGTGATGTGCTGCGATAAGGCGATGCATTGTAGCGACAGGCTGCACCGTAGCGAGGTGTTGCGATGTGGCGACACGGGGCAACGATGTGTTGCATTGCGGAGATGCGTTGCGATGATACGTCCCGACATGATGACGCATTGGGGCGATGCGTCGTGGTGAGTTGCAACGTGGCGACTCATTGTGATGGTGTGTCGGGGCGACATGTTGCAGCACAACGACGTGTTGTGACAGTGTGTCGCAGCGTCGGGCTGGATGATGTATCGCGGTGGTTTGATGCGTTGGAT